TGAGAAGCCTGATGCAGGATGGTTCCTGTTCCTTTGTATGTGACCCATCATTTCTTGCTAAAGTAAGGAGGCTTCTTTATCTCCAGATTGGGGAGATTCTCTGTTGTTTTGCTTTGGGTGGGTCTTCTTTATTTGCTGTCCTGTGACACCCAGGACCTCAGTGATAGCAAGGCTCAGCCTCCCCTTCATTGTTTAGGTAAAAGCTGTTCCTGGAGCTTTTGTTCGTTGGATGGTGTGCTGACCTTTCCATTTTCTTAGCTTTTCTTTTTTATAATATATTTCTTCATTTCCATATCGTACCTTCTGAAAGCTTTTCTCAACTTTCTCTTCTAGTCCTCCCACCTGCCAAACAAGGTCTCACTCACTCCATTGCCCAAGTTGGTCTTGAACAGAAAATTAATTTTGGCTATAACTTTCAATTTCTAATCTCTTCATATTGTCTTTCAATTGCTCCCTTTTTAAAAATGTCTCTTAATATTCTGTTCTTGCTTGATGTTTGCAGTATACTCACTCAGCCCTCTTGAGGATTTTAATTATAGGCTTGGTTGTTGCTTCCATAGTTTTCATTGTTTCCTCCTGTTCTCTGTGCAACCTTCAAGTTCTCTTTTTTGTATTTTGGGTCATTCTTTCCTGTGTGAGTGTTTCTTACCCTCTCCCCCCCATGCTTGGTGACCCTTTTTTGTCAGTAAAGCAAGGTACCTGCTCACTGCCTGGAGCTCCAAGACAGAGCCTCCTGGCTGGTGCCCCTGCTGACAGCAGGGAGCTCGGCTATCCTGGGAGCCCCCACACACAAACTCTGGTGTCTCCAGAGACAAACCCCTCAGTCTGGAAGCAGGAAGGGGGGGCGGCAGGCTGTGCCAGGGGAAGGGCCACCATCCACCATTGGTGTGCATCTTAATGCCCTGTTTTCACTCTGGAGTCAGTTCTTCCTCTGGCTCCTTCCCCACCTGTCTGGTGTTCTGGATCCTGCACCTTGCAAGTTTCCTGTCTGCCGAGAACAGACCTGGATGGGGGTGGGGACCTGGAAGTTAACCCCTTTGTTTATGGGCCTTGGTTGAGTGTTCCCCATTCAACCCTAATCTTACACCTATCCTGTGTCCCACACCCCCCCCCCACCAGCAGTGTCTGCTGACTGTGGGCCCCCGAGGTTGAGGGTGAATCAGCCCCACTCAGCATCAGGCTCGCACGCCCTGCCTTCTAGTGGGCAGAGCCCAACATTGGTTGGCACCTCTTTTACGCTATGTGCCTCTCAAGCTGTACCTTTAGCACGTTCTTACTTTCTCCACTTGATTGTCATTTTAGCAGAATGTTGGCAGGGAAGAGAGATAAGCCCGTGTGTTCCATGTGATCTGCTGCCTGGTTACAGAGCCACCCTCCTCCCCCTCCTCCATTCCCTCTTCTCCTCCTCAGAGGTGACTCCTGCACCTGGGAAGAAATGCTAGAGAGAAAGATTGTGTGTGTGAGTGTGCACATGTGCATGTCTGTGTGTGTGTGAGTGTGCACATGTGCATGTCTGTGTGTGTGTGAGTGTGCACATGTGCATGTCTGTGTGTGTGTGTGAGGCCCCATAGCAGACTCTGGAGGTTCTGCAGTCGGCAGCAGCATTGCTTGCATCCCATCCGCAGGAAACAAACAAGATAACCAGCAGAGTGGGTGGCCTCAGTGTTGAAATGCGTATGTGCCTCACACAGTGGGGATATTGAAGGGGATACACTCAGATCAATGGAATAAATCCTGGAAATTCATCACAAAAACTCTCTGTACCTTGCTTGGAGCTGGCAGAGTGGGGCATCTCACACTGCTCTGGTCAGAGAGGTGACGTGTTCGTCCATTACTTTGACAACTTTGTGCTGGGCCTTGTGCTTGTCCTTGGGAAGCATGTGGTCCAGGCAGTAAAGCAGGGGGCTGAACTTGAGTCTCACATGTGTTCCTTTGTGCTTGAAAGACCACATTTAGTCCCAGAGATGGGCCCTGAGCCCCAGGGGACAGTTGAAGACTTCTGAATTCTGGGGCATCCTGACATCTCTTTAAAGACTGGGTGATATTGGGCCAGATGTCGTCATTTTTAGTTTAGAAGAGGTGGTGCTGTGGTGGGCGCTTGTCATGTGCATCATCTCCTCCGACCACGGCAGTGACCCCCATAGGAAGGGGGGTCCACTTTGCAGAGGAGGGACTTGCTTAAGCCACTGGATCCAAGTTTGGGCTTCTAGATCCAGCTGCCTCCATCCCACGTGGAGTGTTTGGTCCAGCCTTCCCAACCCTGAGACTCAAGCTGGCACTGAGTAGGAAGCCCATGGGCACGCTCAGGGCCGGGGGCTCTTCTTGCCACTGCAGCTGCAGCCACTGGCTTCACAGATCTTCATCTTGTAGATCATTAGCTCCTTTGACTTGGGATGGGAAGAACGTAGGTTACTAAATGCAAATCAGTATAATCTTTAAAAAAAAATGTATGTTACTAAGCACTTTTATGTGACTGGGTTGGGAAGAAGCTTCTGGGTATAACTTACTGCTGAAGGGAAAGGTGGGTGGGAATGGCTGCCTCATTCCACTAGGGCCATTTCTTCTGTGCTGGGGAGGCAGGACCCAGGTGTCTCACTGGTTGCCCAGTTCCTTGGGACCCATCCATCCCCAACCTGTCCAGCCCATGGAACCAGGCTTCTTGAGCCTTCCCTGGGGGTTTGGGGAAATTCCCTCTCTCCCCTCGCTCCTCTTCTCCCATTTTGGGCCTTTGGTTGTGCCTTTTCCAGGCTTCTCAGACCTGGGTTGGAGGGCTCTAACTGCCGTACAGAGAGGCTGGGCCTATATCACAGACTTTTCCCATTACATTTTCATATCAAAGTGTCTTCTCACTCTAAAAAAGGGAAGTCCTAGCAGTGGGGCAGGTGGAGAGAGACCCTGGAGGTGATCTTGGTTTAGAATGCCCCCTACCTCCAGCGGGGCGTGCAGAGATCTAGGAGAGCCCTTCTGGACGCCCATCCTGCCAATGGAACGTTAAGATGTAGCTGTCTCCAGGTAGCCTGTGCACTCTGCAGACAGGCTCGATTTTTAAAGTTTATCGGAAATGATGCCTTTATTATAGAAAGACCGTGTAGTTTCCCTATTCCCTTGTTCTTAAAGTATCTTTTAGTTTTGCATTTTAATGATTCTGAAACTGGGATGCATCTTAAAGTAGATGTGTACCTGTGTGTGTGAGAGAGAGTGAGAAAGAGAAGGGGCGTTCCGTACGTCCAGGGTGAGTTCCCAAGTGACTGCATCCTTGAATTGAGGAAACACAGTAAAAAGTTAGTCTGAGAGTCAAAACTTTTTCAAAACATGGAATCCACAGGAACAAACAAGCAAAGGGGGTCCTTGACAGTGGAGAAGCTGAGACCACTGCCTTAAACCTCCTATTTTCTTTTTTTGCAGTTTTTGGCCGGGGGTGGGTTTGAACCTGCCACCTCCCGAATATGGGGCCAATACCCTACTCACTGGGCCACAGGCACCACCCAACCTCCTGTTTTCCCAGAAACTTTATGTGTGACTCGTGGGGGGGCGGGAAATGCTGATGAAGCTGCTCCGCAGTCCATGTATTTCTTTCTGTGCGGGTCACACACTTGAGGCAAACTGTTCCTGAAATTACCCCCATACCATTCCTCCCTCAGGTCAGGTCACATGTATTTGCATGTTCAGATAAGGACCTTTCTTTTTTTTTAATTTTTTTTTTATTTTTTGCAGTTTTGGCCGGGGCTGGGTTTGAACCTGCCACCTCTGACATATGGGACCAGCGCCCTACCCTTTTGAGCCACAGGCGCCGCCCATAAGGACCTTTCTTTTCCTTTGTTATAAAACATTCACAAGTTTATGATTATTTTTGGTTTGAAAGGTGAACATCTTTCTTTTTCTCACTGGCCTTTTGGCTTTTCTGATGCTGTAGCCCTGGTGGGCCCTGGGAATGTCCTGCGGTCCTAGCTCAGGCACAGTGGTTAGAGGTTGGGCCCTGTCCTGCAGGGTGGGGCTGACCAGGACGCTTCCACAGTTTATCCCAGTGGTCAGGAGCTTGTCAGATTAGATTACGTGCCAGGATCTAAAGCTCAGGGGGACACCCCAGAAGTCAGCAGGTGCCTTGTGAAGTCCCTCAGTCTCTCTGGGTTCCCCACTCATGGTACCAGCAATGGGAGGCACGGAAGGTTGTTGGTGTCTTCCCAGGAATGTGGAGTGAGAAGGCAGACCAGCCGCCCACAGCACAGTCTGCAGGCAATGGGAGGAAAGCACCACTGTCCTCCAGCTGTCCGTCCTCTGCAGGGGCCTATGAGACCCTTTATGCCGTGTCGCTAACCCCAGCCCAGCACAAAGGGGACTCATATCAGGGCTGGCTCCTCCCTCAGACCTTTCTCAGAGAAGGATTTCCACAGCTGTGCGTGAGAAAATGGCTTCTTCATGAGACTAGAAACAAGAACTGAGTCTTTCATTTTTTTGTCATGATCTAGTTGCTGACCTTGAATGCCACACTCAGGGCTTATACCAAGAAGAGGCAGGTGGACCCCCTGCCCCAGTAGAGTCCCGTGGATGAGAGAGCCTGGCACCCCAGGCCCAAAGGCAGGAGACTGTCAGTGTGGCCACAGGCGCCATCTCGGGTGTCGTTTGCACCCCACGGGACTTCTTTCTTTGCCCTGCGCCATCCACTGTGTTAAGGGGTAATGAGCAACTTAATGTGCTGACTCCCCGGTCCCTCCTTGGTCCATTACAACAAAAGTTGCTCTTTTCTCATTAGAACCATTTTTATCAGGGTGTCTTTAATCAGTGGCTTCCCCAGGGACAATATTTTTAGAAGTTGTATTTTTCACACTCTCCTTTTTCCCCTTTTGGAAATTCTCGTCCCTGTGCCTGGTGAAGTGGACTAATGAGATGCCGTGAGAGTCCCGGTCCGTGTTAATTGGGCCGGGCTTGGAAAGGAGCAGCTCAGGCACCTTCAGCTCCGCCTTGCCTCACCTGCCACCCTCTTCTCTGTCTCTTCCGTGTAGGTTGCACAGACGGCAGATGGTGTGGATGCTGACCTCTGGAAAGACGGCCTATTTAAATCCAAGGTTACCAGATACCTGTGTTTCACAAGATCATTTTCCAAAGAAAATGTAAGTCCAGTCGTGGTTTCCGTTTGCTGAGTGAGCACAAGTAATTTACATTCCTATGTGGAATTTCCTCTTTTTTTTTGTTGTGGTTTATTTTCATTGCCATATTAATTTATCTGTGGTTTTAGTGAACAGGGTGGAATCAGCAGCTAGTGCTGTGTTTCATTTATTAACAGTATTATTAACCACGTACCCAAGTGTACAGTGAATTCCATTAAAATGTGTTCTCAAAAGGAAGCCAGGAAATTTCTCTCACAGCTCTCATTTGCCTACCTTGCCTCTAAGCAACAAATCACAGGGTGGTACGGATGTGAGCATTTTCTAGAGGAGCTGGATTTAATGCTGGCCAACAAAGGCAACGTGGCTCAAAGGAGGACCCACACAGTCCCCCTGCCCCCATGCCCAGACACGGCCTTGTTTCCAAAGCGACTGTTTCTTTCTCTGCCCATCTCACTGTGACATGTCACATTTTATTATTTTTACAGGTAGGTATCCACTTCTGTAGACTTCTCTTAGAGTGCTGCTTTTTAATACTTGTATCCATAAATTAAATTAAGAAACTTCAGAGACATCTATGGAGGCTTTTCCAACAAGGTGTTTTAATGGGTGGCTGAGGAAGCAGAGAAGTAGCTTGTGTGAGTATCTTTTGTGTGTAAGACCTGCTCAGAGTGCTGCGCACATGGGCCTTGCCCAGCCTCAGACGGCCTCTCCGGGTACTGCCTCCTTCCCACTGATGAAGGCACTGAGATCTGAGGCTTGATGTGCCACTCACGGCCACCTGTCTGTCCTAATTGCAAACTTGGAACAGTTTAGATTTCCATTTTCAGGGCTGATACTTTGTTTTTGGCTTGAATGTTATTGTCTCTTTCTAATGCAAATATTTTCATAAATTATTTTATTTTCATAAGTTCTATTATAGCAGTAGTACATGTTTGTGGTTAAAAAAAAAAAAGACAGACCGAAACAACAACTTCAAACATCCTCATCAGAAAGTATGAAGGGGGAAGTACCATAGTCCTCCTCTTCATCACAGTGCCCTTCCAGCCCAGGGCATGGTCACTGGGTCCTCAGGTACCCCCAGTATTTCCTGAGTGTGAACCATCACCAGGCTCCCTGGCTTGCATGCTCCTTCACTGCCCATTTCTGTTGTGTGTTAATAATTCTTGGCTAGGAGAATTATTCTGAACATAGTCAGGGCTGGGGGAGAAGTCACTGCTTTAATTCTCTCCTCCAATTACAGGAGCAGTATATGCCCCTTGTAAAGTGCAGAGTTTATAGTGGAGTCGGGGATGTCCTAGCACTAAACAGTGGGAATCTTTTCAATACAGGCCTTTGAATGCACGTTAAATACCGTGAAGGTGGCTGAGCCTGCACTGCGGACTTCTGTACTACGAGCTTGGAATGAATCTGCATAAGTCCCTGGGCTCACTGTGTAGCCTGAGCAGACACCAAGGAGGAGGGCCGAAGGCTGCATTGCCTTCCAGACATGGGGCCCCCTCCTTCCCACCTGCACCCACATAGCACCCTCTCCTAGTCCCTGTGTCCCTGGAACATACCTAATCTCTTTTTGAGACTGTTTTTAGGTTTAGCTTTTGTCACCTCTGTTCTGTCCACTGGCTACCACTTTCTGCAGAAGGTCATACCCACTGCAGCTGCAGCTGTCAGAAGGGACTCCTGAGGATTTGAACAAACTCCTGTTCACACCTTCTCTTCACTCGCTATTTCCTGGTATTCCTTCTTGATCTCTACTCAAACCTTCATCTTCTTAACCAATGAAGCATCAGTTAAAATGGCCTCAGAGGAACAGCCACAATTTTTGTGACATTTTTGATTTTTGGCTTTTTTGTTGCATTTTCCACCCAAGGCTTTGGGGTATTGATTCTTTAGGACAGAAGAGTCCCTGCACCCCTTTGAGTGGGAACAGTATCAGGTCTGAACATGACAAAGAGAAGTGGCTGGGGCTTTTCAGTATTGGGTGTCATGGGTGAGTGTGCCCAGGGGTGTGATGAAGGGGCGTAAGAGGACTTGGGCAGTGGGAGAAACCTCTGGTTCACTTTTGAAGCAGTGTGGGAAACAGGGGCATTTTGTTTTCAGAAAAAGGATGAATGGGTCTGATAAGTGGGATCCAAACTATTGAGTTCAAGTGGGTGGCAGGAGACCTCTTGCCAGCTGCGGGTAGAGGAGGAATCCGGCATCTTTTAACCTGTTAGTCTACCTTGGCCATGCATTCTGAACCAAGACTTTGCAGAGCATAATTTTTTACAACTGTAAAGGAGGGATGTGGGATCTCAAGACTGGACAGATTCTTAATTAGGTGACTTGAGACTCCCAATGTAGGAGTTTGGAGATACTCCTTTGGAACCTAAATTCCTTTCCCCCAATAATGCTATTAATATAGAAACCAGCTTTGGAGTGACATTGCTTCCTGGGGAAGGATCGAGATTAATTGCACTTTTCATGCCCTGTACTTTCTGCATTACCTGTAATAATAATGTACATAGATTAGGTAGGGAGGATATTAAACAGAAGGATTTATGAACATTTGAATATTAAGTTGGTTATCTGTGGCTACCTTAAATGCAAGGTTGTCAAAAATAATTACAGTATACTAGCAAATACTGGCTACCAGAGACAATATAAATACCCTGAGTCAGTGCATATTGGGCTTTTGGCATGAATCATTTGCTCAACAAGGATTGGGAATACGTTCTTCATATTTATGAGAAGGAAATGAAAGAGAGCGTGGGTGGGGGAGGGGAGAGGAACAGGCAGAATTAACGGTGTCACAGACCTACTGCATCAAGCCTAGTATGGCATCAGCCCCATGTAAGGAAGGACCACACGCGCGCGTATGGGAGCCCTGGCAGTATAGCCTCCGTTTTGTATGCACGGGAGAGATTTTTGATTTTTTTTTTTTTTTTTAGTGGCTGCACTGCTGATGTTCTGGTTTTATGATCAGGGACGTTTGTAGAGAGTGTGGAGGGCGAGGTCGCTAAGTGGTTTGCAGTTGACTTCTGTAAAACCCAGTGTGTCAAGTAAAAGATATTTGAGAGGGATATTGATGATGCCCATCCATCTACAGGGCAGGAAAACATGCCCAGTTGTTAATTTCTCAATGCAGAAAGCAGTGATGACATGGAAAAACAACTGCCATGAAAAAAAATTATGATAGATTAGATCAGGCAATTCTGAAAGCAGCTGATGTTTGTGAGTTAGGTTAATAGTTCAAACCCTTCCTGTGCAGTCAGAGGTTCATTCCACATCTGGGAGGGTTCCTCTCTATACTTGCTGTGCTGCACTGGACATTGTCTTCCTGAGGCCCAGCCGCCTTAAATGTCATAATATTAAATTATGGACAAATATGATATTTCTGAGAGAAAGAAATGGTTTTGTGATGGCAGTGCCATAAGAACAATGGTCCTAGGTTACACTTGCCTCTTTGGCCTTCCTAGTTAAGTTCGAAGAATTTATTTCATTTGTGTACTTAGGATTCATAATGTATTAAATATACTTCCAAAATTTGTATTGATATAGTTTAGATTTGCCATCCAAGCAAATCCAATTTGACTTCCCCAGTCGAAAGATATACCAAAAAAAAATTAATTTATTCAGCCAATAATTATTGAGCACCTGCTATACAGCAAAGACTATGCTAAGCTTGTATTTTCAATAAGAGCAGATATTTTTGGTCCTCATGGTTCTTAAACTTTAGTGGGGAGATAGACACTAAATATATAATCTCACAAATATACAATTAAAAATTGATATGAAGGAAATAAGAGAGTGCCAAGAAGGAACATAGCAGTTTGGATGATAAGAATTCCTCGCTTATTTTCAGCTTTCAGAGATGTTGTAGGGTTGGCACTGCACAGGTGGAGGTGCGGGTGGTCTCAGCTCACCATCCATAGAGATGGAAGTAAATGCCGTGAGAATTCACTGCTCAGGGCAGAGACTGACCCACCAGATGCAGAACAAGTAAACTGAGAGTTCATACTGGGCTTCAGGGATGAAACTCTTTTGGAAAATGGGTGTGCAAATGCATTGCTAGTATCCTAACAGGAGAGATTTGGGATTGGAACCCATAATTCTTTCCTTAACTGGCTCTTGACTACCGAAAGGAGGGACTAAGCTGCAAACTACTCTGAAGATTGTAATGAAATCTCCAAGGAAACTCCACATATTTAAGTTGTAGGATAGATACCTTTTGAGCCTGTTTGCAACTTGAAATGTAGGCTGCAAGTGTCAGTGTGTTTGCAAAGAATTCTCTCTCGCAATTACAGAGTGGTGTACTGTCTTCGAAAGATATTTTTATACCAGTTTCAGAAACTGTGCACTGTGGACCCCATATACACCACTAAATAGAAACTTTAGGAGGCCCTTGTGCACGTCATTTTAGAGGATATGTAATATTGAAGCAGCAGGCTTTCACTCTGTATTAGTTTATGATTCTTGGGATTTTGCAAAATGTATCTAGCAGCTGAATTGTGTTTCAGTATGCAGACTGGCCATCACTTAGGGGTGTGATTGGTGTCTTGGTAGGGTTAGAAATACAGTGCTACTCCTATGGTGAGTGCCCCAAGAATTTGCTCTTTCTAAAATTGACTGTCTCTGAGATCTGATGCTCAGGGCTGAGTGACAGCCTGGTCCCAGGGCTTGTGTGCACAGCTGCCCCCTAATGGGTAATGTCTAGAGTATCTCCTGGGTTGCACAGATGAGGCTATGTCTGAGTGTGGCTTTGAACTTCCACAGATCAGACTCATTCCCAAGAACCCCTAAGTCCCTGTATAACCATCAGGGAACATTAAGTGTCACCTAGTCTAATTAACCTGCTGTCATAAATTTGCACGAGTCATTGTGTTAAATATGCATCTCAAAGCCAAAATGGCAACCCTTCCCTAGGCTTGTTCAGGTTAATAGTCTGTATCTCTTTTCTTTCTTCCCAAGAGCCATTTGGGGAATGTGTTAGTGGATATGAAGCTCATCGACATCAAGGACACGCTGCCTGTGGGCTTCATCCCCATTCAGGAGACGGTGGACACACGTGAGTCATCCTTTAGTATCACTCATCACAGGGAGAGTTTTCTTCCTCCAGGCATATTTGTAGATATTTTTTACATGCATTTTTCTTCAGAAACATTTTAGGAGGCCTTACTGTGTGCCCACGAATGAAGAAACCCTTCTGCTTTTGGCACGTGTCCAGTCGGGTTCTCCCGGGAGTTTGCAGAGTGTTCTGGGTGGCCGCATGTAAAGGAGCAGAATGTCGCTTCCTCTAGAGTGGTGCCCCTGCTGGATGGGCTCACTTGGGAATGGGATGGCACAACCAGCCATAGTTAGTCTTTAGTCCTTCCCCTGGGGTTTTGGAAGCCAAGCTTGGCAAAAGACCCACAAAAGGAAAAAAAAAAAAAGACATCCAGGAATCACTATGCACAAGTACAATAATGTGCCCATTTTTGTCCCTGAAAGCCAACCAGAGAAGTGAGAACCAGAAAAACTGCAAATTAGAGTACACAAGATTCTAATTTGACCAATTCTGACCATGCTGCAGGGCTAAGCAGAAGTGACTTGCTGATGAGTCGGAAGCTTCTTCAGGACACTGGAGTGTTCAAGGTTCCTGCCCTGAACATCAGTTGTTAAGTAGTGTTGGAAAACCCCTGAGTAGTTGAGCCTCCTCATTTTTATATAATATAGCTTGTTCTATTTTGAATTATTTGTCAGCAAACTTTAAGATATGTACAATGGTGAGGCAGTGAATAGAAAACAAATATGAGAGAATCTTCTTTATGACACATGGTTCATTTATGAAATTCTGTCTCCTATTCTTTGCCATCTACACTTATTTTTTTGGAGCCCCATTTGGGCCCACTATTTTTTGTTTTCTTTCTAGCGTTTCATGTAGACCAGAGTTTTCATACCTAGTAGAAACCCCACAACTGTTGTTTTAATAAGCAAGTAGCTCCCATCGTGTAGTGTAGTGTCTTGATGCCGTCCCCACATTTGCACATTGGATGGCTTTTTGTAGTTTATTACAGTATGCGTGAACTACTAATTACAATGGCTGATACTTAGCGTGTGTTTCCTATATGCCAGCCCCTGTGATAAATGCTTTACGTGCCTGATTTCATTTAATCTTCAGAAGACCCTTCTTTAGCAATAGGTATTATTATGCCCATTTTTCATATAAGAAAAATGAGGCACAGTGACTACTTAGGGATTAAAGAACTTAGCCAAGGTCACACATCTACAGCTGGGGATATATACACAAGTGTGATTCCAGCCACACTTTTAGCCGCAGTGCCACCCTGGAAGAACATGTGTATAAGCGCTTTTATAGGTGGACTTGATCTATTTACGTGAAGAGTTTTTTGGTAATAGCTTTGTTAAGATATAATTCTCATACTATATAATTTGCCCATTTAAAGTACACAGTTCAGTATTTTTTAGTATATTCACAGAGTTGTAGAACCTTTCATGCAATCAATTTTAGATCATTGTATCGCCCCCAAAAGGGGTGTACCTGTAACCATTAATTGTCACCCACCATTTCTGCACAGCCCTCATCTCCCCTACCCTTCCCTGCCAGCCCTAGCAACCACTAATCTACCCCCTATGTAGATAGGCCTTTTCTGGACATTTCATATAAATGGAATCATACAATATATAATATTTTGTGACTGGCTTCTCCCACTCAGAATAATGTTTCCAACATCTGTCCATGTTGTGTATGTATTAGAACTTGATTCCTCCAAATCCTCTCCTGTTATGTGGCTGTACCACATTTTGGATATCTAGTCAACTGATACATATTTGGATTGTTTCCACTCTTTGACTATTATGAATAATGCTGCTGTGAACATCCATGTACAAGTTTTTATGCAGACATATGTTTTTATTTCTCTTGGGCATATAGCTAGGCACAGAATGCTCAGTTATACAATAACTCAGCATTTCTGGGGATCTATCAAAACTGTTTTTCAAAGGAGCTGTACTGTTTTTCATTCCCGTAAGCAGTGTATGGAAGTTCCAATTTCTCCACATCTCCAACACTTGTTATTATCTGCTTCTTGATGTTAGTCATCTTAGTATATGTGAAGTGGTGTCTCTTTGTGGTTTTACTTTGGTTTCCCTCCCTTACGGCTGGTGATCCTGTGTATCTTTTTATGTACTTGTTGACCGTTTGTATATCTCCTCTGCAGAAATGTCTATTCTTACCCTTTGTACGTTTTGTAATTGGATTGATTGTCTTTGTATTATTGTGTTGTAAAAATATTTTATAATGTATTCTAGATATAAATCCCGTATCAGACATATGATTTGTAAAAATATTCTCCCATTCTGTGAGATTTCTTTTCTCTTGATGGTGTCCTTTGGAATGCAAAAGTTTTTGTTTTAGGTGGCACGTGTGGCTCAAAGGAGTGGGGCGCCGGCCCCACAAAGCGGAGGTGGCAGGTTTAAAACCGGCCCCTGCCAAAAACTGGAAAAAAAAAAGGTTTTTGTTTTGATGGAATTCCACTTATCTACTTTGTTCCTTTGTTGGTTGTGATTTTAATGTCACATTTAAGAAACCACCACCTAATTTAAGGTCACTGAGATTGATGCCTATATTTTCTTCTAGGAGTTTTATAATTTAGCTCTTACACTTATGTCTTTGATCTATTTTGAGTTAATTTTGTGTATGACGTGAGTTTGGGTCCAACTTTATTCTATTACATGTGAATATCCAGTTGTCTTAGCACCATTTGTTGAAAAGGCTATTCCTTCCTCTAGTGAACTGTCTTGTCATCCTGTGAAAAATCAGTTGAGCATAAATGGGAGGGTTTGTGAGTTCTCATCTACCTATGTGTCCTCCCTCATGCAAGTACCATACAGTCACTGTTACTACAGCTTTGGAGCAAGTTTTGAAATTAGAAAGTGTGAGTTCTCCAACTTTGTTCTTTTTCAAGATTGTTTTGACTATTCTGGGTCACTTGAATTTCCCTATAATTTTAGGATTAGCTTGTCAATTTTTACAATGAAGCCAGCTGGGATTTTGGTAGAAATGGTGTCAAATCTGTAGATCAGTTTGTGTATGTATGGATTTTGAATAATTTTCCTTGTGATAAGTTTCCAAGTTCTTGAGGCTGTTGGGTCATAGGTCATCTAGGGTCTGCCCTCAACCTTCCTTTCCAAACATATTTCTTATCCGCAAGCACCCTGTACTTCACTGAAACCAAGACCCTCACTGTGCCCACCTCATGCTCCTTTCTTTTCTGGGTATTTGCTTTGCTGGTTTCCCTGCCTGACATGTCCTTCGCTTCTATTCCAAATGTCCACACCGTGTCTTTCAAGCACTGGCCTCCACTTGCATGAGACAGTCTCTGTTCCTAGATTCTGGTTTCTCTCCACAGACAGGCAGCTAGGACTGATAAATGCTTCACATAGACCAAGCACTGTGGGCTTCAGGGCATGAAGATGAGCAAGACACTGGCCCTTCCCTCAAGGAGCATAGTCTAGCATGCAACCTGCATTTGACAGGGCCGCACTGCTTTCTAGTCTAACCAGATGGGCCGGCCTGGTCTGCCTGCTCTCCTGCTTTGAAGTGCGACTGGTGGGCGTGAAGTGAACAAATGCAGGTCATGGTGGTGGGGAGCTAAAAAGAGTGATCAGTTCTGCCTCCAAATTTCCGTTTTTACCTCTGTTAGGACAAACTGCGGCTTGGAGTGGTGGGAGGAACTTGGGCTCTGGTGTCAGACTCACCTAGTATCATGTCTGGCTCTGCCATTTAGAACTGTGGGCCCTGGGCAATTACCTCACCCTGCTGGGCCTCATTTTCTTCATCTGTTGGATGGGGGAAATATTGCCTATCTCAGAATGGTTTCAACTTGCAGTATAGCCATTTATATGTTTTCTGAATCCTCTTGCTACTTGCCTCTTTCTTTGAGGCAAGATCCATGCCTAACTTGTCTTTGAATCACCTAAGGTACCTACATGGGCAGTACCTTGCTTAGAGGATGGCCTGTATGAAGATAAGCTTTATAACTCCCTGTTTCCAGATTAATATCTACAAATACCAATTCATAGTGCCGCTAATGATACCGGCTCATACTTGTTTTCCACAGGTCTGCTAGCATAGGTTTTCAATTTTTTTATTTCCTATTTTACTATTTCAATGTTCATTTTACTTTTTTTATCAAAACTGAACATTTTCATAAGCCCCTCCTACTTTTGTGTATTCTTACATGAATTTTCTGCTTAAGATCTAAAATTGACTTACAGACTCGTATTTCCTACCTTTCCCCTGTGTTTTTCATACTTTTAACATTTATATTGTTGTTCATTTTTGACAGTTAATTGACTTGTAATTTCTTTATATTGATGGACTGTAGAGCCAAACCACAAGGGATTTCCCATTCTGCCTTTTCTCCCAGTTTGTCGAACCAAAGTGAGTTATGTGAAGAGATCCAGGCTGAGCCCTGTCTGGGCTTGTGGTCTGGCTGCTGAGGTCCCCATGGTCCTGCTTGGGAAGCATCTACCGTGGCACTAGAAGTACATTAGTTACTGTCCTGTCCCAGTTCGGAGGCCAGGTCCTGAACTGTTGGTCAGGCGCCTTAACACACAGGAGGGGGGTCATTGGCTGGGTTCTTTACCCAGGGGATAGGAGAGCCCAAGCTGACCAGGTCAACTTTATGGTCAGCTCTGTATCATTTGAGAATATTTAAGGCCCTCATTTTATAAAGTCAGCCCAAAAGATGAGACTCCTGTAATTAATTTAAAATACAGTCTATTGTAATCCTTATAGCACAGAGAACCTGGGAGACTGTTTTAGTAAAGTGCTGTGTACTTTCTCTGTGTTCATTAGCATGACTGAACACATTTCTATTGCATATGTATAATGTGTTTACTTAAAATTAGGTCTGCCTAAGCACGTGGGATTAGTGGCTCCATCTCCCACCTCAAGTTTGCAAAGGTGGAGGAATGAAGTACATTAGTTTACTTTGCAGAAAAGTCTCACCTTTTAGATGTTTTCAAAGGCTGATCTTATCAGTTAACAGTTTTTGAAGGTGCAGGGTTGCTGTGGACCCCGCCTCCACCCCCCAAACTCTCCAGGACACAATTAATCCCTGCTCGTCAGGCAGTGCTGGGGGCTGAGTTCAGAACACTGTTAACTCACAGCTTATAGACCTAGAAACTGGTTACTCACAGTTTCTCTACCTGGAAAAAGAACCTGGAAAACTGTCCCCCACCAAGAACACCCCCCCCAAATAATAACAAAACAATTCCACTGATTCTGTCCCCCCCAGGCCCCTCAGAGCTTGCAGGCTGGACTGTGCCCACCCCCATCTGAATGCCCTATTGAGTATGGTTATTTCCTAACTTAGAACTGAAGGGTCTTGGAAATTAATACCAACATAGCCCTAAATTGTGTGCTAGAAGCTTACTTGTAACAGTGATGCTAAGATCCTGCATAGCTGTTCTTGACTGAGTACCTACTGTGTGCCAGGCCCCGGGCTGAGTCATAGATGGATCCACCCAGCATCCCTATCGGATGAGGTCTCATTATCTCCCTTTTACAGATAATGAAACCAAGGCTCAGAGACATCGAGTAACTTGCCTAAGGTCACAGTGCCAGAAAATGGCAGACTTGGGATTTCAAGCCAGATAAATCTGACTCATGTATTGAGTGGCTGCAGTTGGTTGAAACTTATGTTTAAAAGCATAAACACATAAACCAAATACCCTTCATTCAGTCACCCATGGAGGTTGCTAGGGCACCAACACATTACTCTAAGACTTGATAATTAAGAGAAAAGAATCATGTACATATCCTTCCTCTCCTGTACAAAGCCTGTTTCAGGGAAACTAAGTAGTTGATGAAGAAATGTATTCTCTATAGAAGGATTCCAGCTAATAAATGCAGAAGGAATGACAGAATTAGAAAATCACCATTTTGAAACCTCTTATAAAATATGGATCTTAGCGACAGTCACCAGGGACAAGAAAACTGCTCAGAGGATAGCAGTTGGGAGCTGCATGACTGAGGTCCCCAGCCGGGCAGACATTCCTGAGACCTGTGGGTGTGCCACAGCTGACTCCGGGCTGTCCTGCGCAGTGCCATAGGAAGTGCACATGCCTCCTGGGAAGCATTTGTGCCTAAAACACCTAACCTGAGTCTAATGGAGCCTTTAACTCTGTCAGTTTACAGAAATCACGGGGAAATGGGGCCAATTTCTCCAAGCTTTCGGTGCCCTGGAGAAGAAGGGAGCAGGGAGAGGTTGTTAGAAATAAAATGGACTCAGAAACCTGACACCCAGTGCAGTGCCCAAGGTCTGTCTTGGAGCTTGATCCAGATAGGATGGAGACTATCTATTAGAGAAAATCAGGGAAGATTATTCATTTTGTTATGAATAGTAATAGCATGGTGGTCATGTTAAAAAAAAAAAAAAGTACCTGTCCTAGGTGCCTGCTGAGATACTAAGGGTTACATAACTTGGTGCTGGGGATTCATTTTAAAAATTCGGTAAAACTATAGGACAGGAGGAGAAGAAATTGGCTTGTCCACTGCTGACAGTGTTGAAGCTGGGTGGCGAGAACTTGTGGGTTTAGTCTCTGGTCTCGCTGCTTTGGGGTACATTTGAAAATTTCTGTAGTAAAAAGGGAAAAAGAAAAGGCATCCGTGTGGTAAAATATGTGATTGCTTACAGCAGTTTCTGATAGCTAAGCAGGGAGAGACTGTGATCATGGCTTTTAAAAGCCATCTTGGGTTTCTTGCAGAGGTGTATGTGCTCCAAGGAATCCTTTACCCGTGGGAGGTGTCTGGGGTTTGGTCCTGAGGGCAGAGCATGGTGACTGGCGCCGTGTGGGAGGTGGGTGGGTAGAACCCAGCCCCAGTCTGTCACTGCTGCTGCTGGGGATAGGTGATGTGCGTTTTAGAGTAGAGGTGGTGGCAGCCTTGGAAGACTCATGTCTTTTCTGTTATTCTTCCCTTCAGAGGAGGTGGCTTTTAGAAAGAAGAGGTTGTGCATTAAATTCATTCCACGAGATTCAACTGAAGCTGCAATTTGTGACATTCGGATCATGGGCCGGACCAAGCAGGCCCCACCTCAATACACGTTTATTGGGTAAGTCTTAATATCACAGGTCTTAGCGGCTGCTCTCTGCTGAGAGTGCTTCGGCCACCCCAGAGGTGGCATCCTAAGAGTTTCTCCAGGGCTTCCAGACTCCTAGCCATCCATCGGCCTCAGTGCTCCCCCTGCCCTTCCTGCTCAGCTGTGCCATCGCACTGTCCATTCACCCACCCCATGAGATTTGAGGGGTACCTGTTTTGTGCCACTGGGGCAAGGACACTGGACATGGAAGCAAGTGAGGCAAGGCCTTGCTGTTGCAGAGTTGGCCTTCTAAAGGGGAAAAACAAGCAATAAACAGGAAAATTCATGAGATAATTTCAGACAGTGAAGAAAATGAAACACACTAATGGGGGGGCTACGTCAGTTAGGGGGTGAGGAAGGTGACACTCGAGTAGGGACCTAAATGTCAAGAAACCAGCCACACAGATGTGAAGGCAGAGCCTCAGCAGAGCAGAAGGTCAGGATAAAGGGGTGGGAGTGCGCAAGGCCTGTTCTGAAAACAAAGCAGCCCAGTGTGGCTGAAAGGGGCACTCCAGGGCGAGAGCACTGGGGTGAGGGGAAGAGCCAGCAGGGCCTCCTAGGACACAGCCTGGGTTTTATTCCAAGAATGTGGAGGCCATTGGAGGATCCTAAGGGAGGAGGAGGCACAAATATTACACGAGTATGTGGTAACCTGCCGTGCGGTCTTGGTCTGAGCTGCTGAGGCCAGGCTGTTAGCATCTCACTCCTCCAGTAGTTTTAGTGCCAAGAGGCCTGGCTCTGCTGCTCCGTGAATACCATGTACAAAGGAGTCTCAGGATTTTACCTTGGGCTCTTGATTGTGACAGGAAACCCATCCCAGACTGGCTTCAGCAGAAGGAAGAGTTTATTGGCCAACATAACAGCAGAGTTCTGGCAGCAGCATAGGCTCCAGACTCGGGGAGCTCAGAGGATGTCACCAGGCTCTAGTTTCCCATCCCCCTCCCAGCTCTGATGCCTCTGGGTGGAACCCGTTGGGATTCACGTTCTCACCTCATGGAAGCAGGGTGGTCCTCTGGCTTCTCCTCCTTTTCATCCAGGTTCAAGTCCAGGGGCAAAGAGCAAGTCTTCATTCCAGATTGTTGTTCTGTGACACCAGGCCTGAGCTGGAAGCAGAGTTAGCACCACTGGCACTAACCATGAGTGGCAGCCACCCCCAGAATATGGAGGGGAGGTAACAATCCCAAAAGGGAAGTGGTCAGTGCTGGATGTCTAAACGAAAACTGATGCTCACTGTCCTCAGTTGACTAAAATTTGTTCAGGCTTTATAGGTATCGTGGTTGACTCTGTGAACTTCCAGAGATGCTCTCTCCTTGTTGGTCTTTGAAGTCAGCCTCCTGGATCTGGTTTTTACTTTGTTTTGCTCTTATTCATTTAAGCCCAGAGCTGCCTCTTCACCCAGCAAGCCAGGGCCTCCCTTCCTGTTCTAGACAGGGAAGGGGACGAGCCCTATAGCATTTGCGTAAAGTGCGTGGGAAGCAGGTCTCAGAAATAGGGACCAGTTTTGTGGTGGTGTGTGACATTAGACACTTGAGCTGTGGAGTCTGAGTACTGTGTATCAGGAGGTGGTTCCTAAGGACTCTGAGTGATCATTCCCCTCCTGTACACCCAGGAGTCCCGTTTTGCAACATGGTTTACTCTAATTGCGTGAACTGGATTACAGGAGTAGGAATTAGTTGGGAGAATAACCATACTTCAAGTACCTTGGAAGCAGCCATTAACATACAAATAGTAGAAACCAACAATTTAGTAATAAACTTTTAAAGGCTAATTTCAGTTTCTATGTGTATTTTTAATTATGAATGATACAACTGTAAAAAGATTCAATTTTTAACCAATTTACACAATTCTAAAGAATAGATTTTTACCAATAAAATGGCTGTAGTTTTGCTTTATCTTGGACTAAAAATTCTTTCCCAGAGGCACACAGTTCCAGTTCTGTGTTTAAGTAAGGAAAGAAAATTCAGTACTCAGAACTCTCGAGTTACTTATTGTTAAAGACAGAGTGCCCCTTTGCGTGTTGTTTTGCAAGGGTTTGGGGTTGTCAGCTGGGGGAGCAGAAACCTCATGTTCCAGAGGCTCCTTCTCCGAGCTATGGCTGTGCTATGGCAAGGTCAGTGCAACTCACTGGAGTCACTCATCTAATGGACAGAACTGTGGTTTAGGGCAGTCCTGAAGTACACTCAAAAACTTACTAGAAGTATCCACGGAATAAATTTCATTCTGAGTGAATGAAATTTTTCATTCATTTTTTTTTTCATTTTTTGAAGAAATAATATTCCTATAAATCAGGTCTCAAAGATGCAGTTCTATAGGGTACTTGAGAAGGTGAAAACTGGGTGTGACTGAAACGATCCTGCCACAATTCCCAGGAGTGCACCTGTCTCCTCTGCACCCTCGACTGTGTGGTGTGGGGCTGGGCTGGGGCAGGGGCACTTACTGAGTCCCAGGACACCCAGCAGGACCTCAGGAGGCCCCTGTGTGCCCACTTGTCACTGTCGTGGTCTGTGGGATATATGCTTTGGGGTTTTGTAGTTTGAAGGTGTCTCCCAAACTGGCCCTGAGAATGAGGCTGACTGCAGGTGGCCCCCATGGAAAGGGCTGTACCCTGAAATTGGGGCATCTTAGAGAGTGGGGAGGCGTGAATTGCCTTATGGTTAAAAACCAGCAACCTTGTCTATCCATCCATTTCTCCACCTCCCCTAATAGCAAAAAGGACTGGAAATGGATTATCACATAGCTACCTACAATTAAATGGTAAAACAAAGAAATGTAAAGACTTGAGAAGCAAGGGAAGTGGCAGTCAGAGCGGGAAGGCAAGATCAGGGTGGATGAGGAAGGTGGCCCATTATAAAGGCCAGCCTAGAGAGGACATTGCCCTCACGTTAGGCTCTGAACTATTTGACACCTGGAACATAAAAGAGGCAATGTAACCACTCTTACCTCGGCAAGAATTGACACCTTGGTGTTTGAGGCTACTGACTATTTTAAATGAGTTGGTTTGCTTTGTCGTACAGGTAAATGCTTTGTGCTAACCAGCACCATGAAGATTTCTCTTTTCTCCTCAAGGGAACTGAACAGCATGGGGATCTGGTATCGAATGGGCAGAGTGCCAAGGAATCATGACTCATCTCAACCCACAACGCCTTCCCAGTCATCAGCTGCTCCCACCCCAGCCCCCAACCTTCCCAGGTGAGGCCTTGGTGATGCTATCTTGTGCTGTCATGTGATCTTGGATCAGGCTGCACGTTTTAGAGCACTGCCACTTAGTATCTGCTGCAGTAGTGCAAAACCTAACTAAAAAATTGTATAAGCAATGTACCTTTAGAGGAGGTTTTAAAAAATCCAGTTAGAACTCCATGTGACATGAACACAAAGGACATTCTATATCTTATTTTGTACATACTTGGCAGGCTTCTGAAATACCAGAATATGTAACCTAAAATTGGCTTGCTATTCAAAAGAATTTGTAAGTACACACAGATACAGACTATATAGCCATGTGCTTGGGATACTGGCCTTAAGAAGGCGGAGCTCCTTTTCTGCCCTGGCCAGCAACTCATTTGAAACCCAGGTGGGTGGTAAGTAACTATATTCATTTTCATGGTTTCTATTCCCAGTGAGCTACTAACTAAAAAATGGGTAGCTAGGGTATGAGGGAGCAATGGAAGTTCTCCAGGAAATGTTAGTCTTCATAATTGTTTACACAGAGAAACTTGGGTGAGCAGACCGACTGCTCTGCAACTGATTTCAGTGATAGCAGAGGTAGTAATATTCTCCACACTTTTTGCAAAAAGAAGATGGCGAAAAGAACCCTGTCAAATAAAAAAAAGCCTGTGCATCATGAGAAGTAAATTGTTTTAGAGCTAGGAACAAACAGCAGTGATGGATTAAGTTTGAGAAGGGATTTCAAAAGTAAATACGTCAAGAAGGGTGAAACAGCATCACTTGGGAATTGATTTCACATAAATGATAGCGGATCTCAAAGCTTATATGAGGGAATAGAGATGAACAGAATCTGTCAGGAACAGGATAAAGTGTCACTGGTGGGGACCTCCCAAGCCCCACACACCACACCCTGCCCTCTGGGAAGTATCACTGGCCTCTGCACTCTGTCCCTCCAAGCCAAGCTCTGCCTAACGTGGAAGAAAGCCTTGGAAGCACCCCACTGTAGTGAGCCCTGCAGCTCCAAGGACTCTGTCCTTAGGGATAGCCCCTAGAAGACAGTCTGGTTTTTCTTGTGACAGTTTCACAAACCAAGAGTAGTATTTAAACTTAACTGCCCCTGGAATCTTCTGCAAGTTTAGAAGTAGTTTTCAGTTTCTCTTTGGTACAAAACGCTATGAATGAACCTCCCAGAGTTGCAGGAGGAACAGTTGAATCTCTTCGGTTGGTTGGGGAATGTGAGGCTAGTACAGCACCATTAGCCCCTGCTCCTTCCCTTCTCACTGACCAGGAGCATTGCCACCACTCTGCCCTGGAGGGCTCTGCTGAGGGTCACCCTCCCCTGTGCTCAGGGTGGTCTCAGGCCTCTCACCTGTGCTCGGGGCCAACCCAAGTTTGGGCTAATGGAAGAGGCTGGAAAGCCCCAAGGGATCCACTGCCCTGAAGTAGTTACAGCTGCTCCCTGTTGATATCAGATGGCCTGATTTGGCCCAGAAAAGGGCACCACCTCAGGGCATGTTTTAACTTTCTTTTGGATAAAGAAAAAAAGTGCTCTGGCTCAGCGGCTAGGTCACCAGCCAAATACACAGGGGCTGGCAGGCTCGAACCCTAGGCCTGCTAAACAACAATGACGACAACAAAAATAGCCAGGTGTTGTGGCAGGTGCCTCTAGTCCAGCTACTTGGGAGGCTGAGGCAAGAGAATCGCATCAGCCCAAGAGTTTGAGGTTGCTGAGAGCTCTGACGCCATGGCACTTTACCCAGGGCGACATAGTGAGACTGTCTCAAAAAATAAATAAATAAATAAATAAATAAATAAATAAAAGTGCTCATTCTTCCAGATGAAGCAGAGAGAGCAGTCTGCTCAGGAGCCGCCAGTCAGTATGAGAATGAGACCGGCCACTGAAGCAAAAGGGCGGAGAACCCCAGGCCACAGGGAGCTGGGCAGGACTAGAGAGCCGCACATCAGAACAGTGTTTATAAGGCTGATATATTTTATAACCTCCACTGTACAGTTTATGGTTTACAAAGGCTGCAAGGAAATTGGATCAGTTTTGCTTTACTTGCCAAATAAAACAAATGTCAAAATAAAATGTATTCTAATTTGGCTGAGTTAAGTCAGCCAGTATGCAGTGGGATAATGGAAGGTACGCTCGTGCTTCCAAGTAAAACCCACTTTTCTGCCCCAAGCTCTCCACTCATGGTGCAGCAATTTCCAGGTGCTGAGCACACCTACATGAGCCTCCTAATTCATCAGGGCTTTTTGTTTTTTTGTGAGATTTATTTGGATATTGTTTGACTATACAGTATTTTTTTTAATGAAATGCTGATTAATTATTCAAATTTCACATTGGAGACTTGAGAAATGATGGGTATGTTACTTTATTCCTTGAGGCCCCAGGTCTCTATAACTCTCCAGCAGAGGAAGCTGACAGCCTTCTCTCTGGTGGCGTGCCTGGGGGAGCTCGTGTTCCAGGTGCTGGGCGTCCAGGGTGGGGCTGTGAGGTGGAGGCTACGTTCCTTAGCAAGGCACCGGAAGCCCCCTCGTCCCACTCCCAGTCTTGTCCTCTCTCTCCCAACCCCAAGCCCAGACTTTAAGCCGAGCTGGTGACTTCTCTTCCCTCCTGCTTCGTGTTCTGTGCCTTTGCTTGTGCTGGTGCCTGTGCTTTACGTGTGTCCTGCACACCTGCCTCAGGTCTCAGCTCAAATGGCTCCTCCCCCAAACCCCCTCAGCCCCAAGGGGTTCTGCTCTCCTCGCCAAGGGCTTCTGGGTCACTGATTGCATGGTGTGTGGTGGTCCCTAGTGCCTACCAGGGACCCAGTCAAATCCGGCTTACAACAAATGCAGCTCTGGCAGCTGAGGACCCGCCCCAAGGCCCTAGGCGCAGCTTTGGTCTTTCCCATTTGTGAGAGTAATATGAGCATGTGCAAAACTGGCAGAATACAGAAAGTAATGAAAAAACCAGAAATCTCATTTCCAGTGAACAAATGCTTATAACCTTTTGTTCTGTTTCCCTCAAGTCTTTTACCTGTGACTTTTTACATAGGTGATATTATATCGTATAATAGGAAGTTTGTGTTTTGCTACTGCTTTCAGTGTAGCATTAACCACAGACCTCAGAAGCGCTTCTTCCAGTGCGGTCTTTGTGTGGACCCGGATCCAGCCGCCAAAGGGCGACCACGGGGAGAGCGGTGACGCAGCGCCCTCTACTGACCTGTCTTGGCAGTGGCGGGAGGAGTGTCTGCTCCTGACAGTGGGCGTCAGGCATGCTTCCTGGATTGGAGGGTCAGTCATCAACACACATCTCTGCCTTCTTGAGCCTGGGCGTTCATCTCAAAAGCTGAGAACATGTGTTCTGCCTCCATTTCTTATGTCATCACTCTGATGTCAAAGAATTCCCTGCCAGGCTTTGGAGAGCTGTAGTTCCTAGCTCAGGTTGTTTATTCTTAGACAAAAGGGGCATTTGGTGGTGATGGCATTTTCACAGATGATGGCCTAACACCTGAGGTCTTCATGGTTCCAGCAGGTACTGCCCCTAGGAACAAGAGCTTCCCACAGAAGCTCTGTTATTATAGAACAGGCTCATGATGAAACTGGATGTGGGCTTGTCATTTTGGAGTAGGCAGGCCCCCCAGAGAGCCTGATGTTCTTTGGCTGTACCCAGTGAATTGCACCTAGTGTTTGGTGAAGTTGCTAGCAAAAGTAGCAAAAGATGGCTTGGCAGAGGTGCTCTCCCTCATGCAGTGGGCCTTCATCTCACACGCAAACATACCTCACACCTCTCTTGACAGTCTGCAAGTGAAGAAGCGCAGGCTGCTGCTTCCAGGGCTTGGTGCCTCCATTTCCCTGATGCTTCTGCAGGGTAGCAGGCCACTCCATCCAGCAGCATGGGGCCAGCCACAGCTGTGTGAGTCCCAGGCGTATGCCTGGCTAGAGGAAGCACCTTCTCAGCTCAGACTAGAGCAGCCTCACCCTTCTCAGACATTGTGCCTCAAGTATACTTTTGCTGGGAAGAAAAGGTTCTGTTGTTGCCAGGGCAAGGGTTAGGAAAAGCCCTGGGCAGCAGGCAGGTTCATAGCTGGAGGAGCACCAGAAGCCCAGGGTGTGGATAAGCGAATGGTTTTGTGCTAACCCACAGGGAGGAGGCCCTTCGTGGGCTGCCTGCCCCTTGCTCGCCAAGCAGTAGAAACAGTGGCTTGATAAAGACATCAGGGCTATGCTTTTATCAAATTTGCAGATGCCGCAGAGTCATTAGGGCCAGCTGACGTGCTGAGTGACGGGATCAATACTCCATGTCTCCTCCGCAGCCTCAACCACCTGCTGACCATTAAAGACGATGGGTGCAAATGGAGAGGGCCTCTGGGGTTCAAAAAATCAATAGCACAGGAAGCAAATTGAGGAGCCCTGGCTTGGCAGTCGCATGTGTAAAATGGCAGCATGGTCACCCTGCTTGGCTTGTGGGGAATGCGGCTCGTGTCCTTGGCAGGGACATCCCTGAAGCTGGGTCCTGCTCCTGTCAGGCGTGGAGAGAGTCGTCTCCAGGTGAAGGTTACCTGGATCGAGTGTTGTGTTTGGACCTTGATGTGGACAAGGCAGAGGCTGCTGCCCAAACTCTGCTTCTCACAGACCCCTGGGCCATGGGCACATCCTGTCACCTTTCACTGACACTGTCTCTCTCAGGAGACAGGGTCATCTTCCCACACATAGCCACAGAACATTTCCCAGCTCTTGAGTCCTGACTGGTGACCTCCCTGTGAGGTGCAGCCTCCCAGAGGCTCTCCCAGGTGTTGTTCGGGCCTGAGTTTCCCTTATAAGGTGGCGTGGCACTCCTCTGAGTTGTTACAGTCATCTTCCCGTGATTTGTCAGCTTCCAGCAAGTTGTCAGTCACAGGTTCGGAAGTGTGTTTCTTAGTGACAGACATAATTGTACTTAACTTTTTGCGTGGATGTTATCAATCTGTGACAGATACCCTGGGAAATGGGGCATTTTGATTGCAGAAGATCTGTCACATGCATTTAGTCTTCCT